AGCCCACTACCGTTTGCCAAGTGGGGCATGGATATCCTGGGTCCCTAGACGCCTGCTACAGGCGGCAGGAAGTACATACTTGTTGCAGTCGACTACTTTACTAAATGGGTAGAGGTAGAGGCTGTCAAGGGAATCAAGACAAAGGATGTGATTTCATTCATCTAGAGAAATGTCATCACTCGGTTTGGGGTACCCATGTCTATGGTTTTTGATAATGGTCCCCAATTCGAGACGCCTGTTCTCAAAAATTGGTTGGGAGACCAAGGCATCTCGCACTGCTTTGCATCAGTCGGTCGTCCTCAAGCAAACGACCAAGTAGAAGCTTTCAACAAAATCATCTCAGACGGTCTTAAGAAGAAGATTGAACGAGCAGGCGGCCTATGGGCAGATGAACTACCACATGTTCTCTAGGCCATTAGGACGACTGAAAAAGGGTCGACTGGAGAAACTCCATTCCTCCTAACCTATGGTGCAGAAGCTGTTCTTCCAATTGAACACTACGAGCCGACTCTTCGGGTAATGCTGTATGACGAAGAGACGAACTGGGAGTCCATGAACCTGACATTGGACTCACTCCCAGAGAAAAGGGGCAATGCAGCTCGGCGCCATGAAATTTACCGCCTGAGAATGACGAGGTCATACAATAAGAGAGTGCATAGGCGTCCACTCAAAGTGGGTGACTTTGTGCTAAGAAAGATAGAAGCAGTCAGTAGGGCTAATGAGTTAGGCAAGTTAACTCCCAACTGGGAAGGACCCTACCGAATTTATAAAGAGGTTCGAGACGGTACCTACCGCCTAGAAACACCAGACGACCAACTCTTGCCTCGAACCTGGAATGTAGATAATCTCAAAAAGTATTATTTTTGAATGATGTAAATAGCCAAGAGCTAATAATAAAAGTTTGCTTTTTCACTTCATCTATTTTGTACTAAGAGGGGCATGCCTACTTGTAAAACAGTCGGCTACTCTCCATACTTTTCAAATATGCATTCAATAGAGAGGGGCATGCCGCTTGTACCTAAACAGTCGGCTACTCTCTCATACTTAGTTCATCAAGAACCACCTAAGGCCTATGGCCGAAATGATCAGACCAGGCGCCCAACCAACTGATCCAACTTTTAAAACTAATCCGACCTGTCCCAACATCATAGCAAGCGTCCGGCGGCATCCATTCGGATGAAATTTGTCGCAGAGAGCAGCTCCCTTTTGGGTGGAACATTGTCCTATAAACTAATTACACGGCACCTATGCGACTGTCAACAAAGACAACCACGCAGCCGTTTTTGAGACAAGGATAACTCTATCACTGATCCAACGAGTGTTAGCAGTTAACATCCGCGTCGGATAACCGACTGTATTACTTGGGATAAGTACAGCCGGTACCTTTTGAGTTAATAGCCAACAAACATTGGCGAATCAAGAGGTCCAGCCGGCGTCCGCCGCCTGGTACCTCTACTACTCAAACAGAAGTGACGGCGACTAAGTAATCTCAATGTTAACTTATAGTCACTCCCTAAAACTTGGTTCTAAATCTAAAAGGTTTTTGAATAGACCGCATGTTTCTTAAACAAGAGTATTCAAACCCCTATTCTTACTAGGTTATCGCATCTTGAGTAAATAACCAACAAAATTGGTGAATCAAGGGGACTAGCCGGCCTACGCCGCTTGGTACCTCCACTACTCAAGCTTAAACATGACGAGTGAGTAACCTTCAAGATTACCCATAATCACGCCCATACTTAGCTAGGATTCAAAAGGTATGACGAGTCCGCCTGCTTAGAGGTGGACTAGAGCTCTCGTACCCCAACCTGCTAAGATGATTTCTCTTCAAACCAGACATGTTTGAAAAGTTGGTTCACAGGTCGACTGCTTTTTAGGATAAGCAAGGACTCAAGAACTTTATCTACTTTCCTTTCACAAGTAAAGCAAACCTAACGTATTCTCCAAAATATGTTGGGGTCCGACTGGATAGATGGTCGACTGATCGCCTAACCTAGAACTAAGATAACCTGTCGTCCAGGGGCATAGGCAGCCCTCACATTGTACCTGTTCGCAACTATTGGCCATACAAAACAGTCGGTATGACACGCAAGCGGATATCAAAGATACTCGATACTTAGCAAAATTCGAAAAAATAAAGCAAAATTCGAAACCTGGATAAGCAAAGACGACCAAAAAGATGGTCGCCGAATTCATGTAAACAGCCGGCCATAAAGACCAGCAAAATATTCAAGACCTCGGCCCCCCGGCCGGGTAAAGAGATACAAAAACAAACGGCACGTAGGCCAAAGAAAAGTTGAACACAAAAAGCTTTAAGGTTGTGGTAGGGTTTCGGTATTGCCCGCCGCCTGATCAACAAGGGGTGCCTGGTTCCGAGAGGCTTCCTTCTTGCTTGTTTCGGCATCAGGGGCTGCTTCTGTAGATGCACCTACCACAATCGGCTGCAGGGCCACTTCCTCCTCCTCCTCTTCTGAGCAGGACTCGGCCGCTTGGTCCTCCTCAGCCGCCTGCCTCATGATTTGCTGGTTGTACTTTTCAGTACAAGCAGTGAACTTCTTCTCCCAGGCGGCATAATGAGCTTTTGGAAAGAGAACCGTCCAGGTCATCCTCATGATTTGAGCAGAGTCCTCCATCATGGCCTTGGCTAGCTCCATTTTCTCTTTTTCGGCCTTGGCCGAGAGCTCATCAGTGAGGCTCTTCTCCTGCTGCACCAGGTGCTCTTTGACAGAAGCCAAGGATTTCTCCAAGGTCTCAAACTGAGTCATCTTCTGCTTAAGCGGCCTCAGCTCATTTTTGAGGCTCTTGACCGTCGCCTCCTGATAAGCCTTCTTATCATGGGTTGAGAGAAGCATTTTAGGGTGTGTTTTGATGCTTTATATGTACTTTTGTTAGCTTTTGTGAGTTTTGGGCTGTGATCTCACTTATGTGCAAAAGGCGGGATTTATGAGTATAAGTGAGTGAGTGAGCTCGGGAACCAATGAAGAGTTATGTAAGAAGGATGGACCTTGGCTCGTGATTTGAGAGTTGTGATGGAGCATGGAAGAGCAAGGAAGAAAGCTTGAGGAAAAGGTGAAGCAAAGCAAGAAGAAGAAGCAAGGAAAGAAGGCAAAAACAGCAGGAACCGCTGCCGGGGCCGCTGGCAGCTGGCCAGAGCCGCTGGCAGCGGGTATACCAGAGTGAGGGGCTGCCAGAGCAGCTGCCAGCGGGTCCAGAGCAGCTGGCAGCGGCTCTGGCAGAAATTCGGGCTGTTTTGGTTAATTTTCAGCAATTTGGCTTTGTTTTGGCTCGTGTTTTGGATATTATTTTATTATTATTATTGTGTTATGTTATTAAAATATAGAAACATATAAATAGCTTAGTTTTAATTAAGTTTTAAGTTAGAAAAGGAGAATTAAGTTTTGAGAAAAAAAAGCTTTCTAGGGTTTTCTTGGAATTTTCAGAATTCTTTGTTTTGGAATTAGAATCCATGGAAGCTTAATCTTCCGGATTCTTGGTTAAAGATTGAAGCTTTTGGCTACGAATTGTGAGATCTTTCTTCTCTTAATATCTATTGAATATATATTGTTCCTTGAATTAATTTCATGATTTGCTTTAATCAATTGCTAGGTTAGAATTATTGGATTCGCTTGCATCTAATTAATCTTTCCAAAGTAGCAACTTTAGGTTATTGATGCATGCTTTTGGTTGATAACTTGAAGAGGGAATAATATTATTGAAGAAATTAGACCGCTTGTGTTAATTTATTCAATCCTTGTTGATTTCTCCGTTTATTTTCTTCTTGTGGATAATTTAGAGCGCTTGTCTTGAATTGTGCATTGGAAAGGGTTAGAAAGGAGCGCTTTGCTATTTCTAACTATTTATGAGAATTTAGAATCTAGGAATTCTACAACAAGGTGTTCAATAGAGCTTGATTGAGGAGACTTCTATGATCAATTTGTATGTTCATTAGTGGATTTCGCATAACCAAGACCGTTCTTCTCATTGATTACCTATTCATTACGTTCGTTGTTCTTACTTAGTTCATTTATCATCATTGCTCGTGAAAACCCCCCTCGTTACTTAGGTTACTACCGTCCTAGAGTATTTCCACTTAGGTTTCCAGTTATTAGTCCCTTTTTCCCTGTGGATTCGAACTCGACTCCCCTAACTACGTTTATTTGCAGTTAGCTTAGTTGTGATATTTTTGGTTGCATACGACTGAGGCACACCAAATTTTTGCGCCGTTGCCGGGAAACTTAAGGCGTTACTTTTTAATTGTTTATCTTAGTAGAATTTATTTTAGGACTGTTCTTAGCTATCTTTCTTTGTTTGTTCGCTAGGGTATGATAAGTACCCGTTCTGCTAACAAAGAAGTTTTGCAGTTTGATCCAGAAATTGAAAGGAATATTTTCAGGTTGCGAAAAGAGGCAAGAACAACCCCCAGTGAATCAACATACTCCTTCAATATTCAAGAAGAAGAGGAGATGGCTGACAATAGAACTCTAAGGGAACTCACAACTCCCAACTTGAACCAACAACCGTTGTGCATTGCATACCAGCAGTTGGAGGAAGGTTTTAATGTTGAGATCAAATCCGGTCTAATTCATCTATTGCCGGCATTCCATGGCATGAAAGGCGAAGATCCGAATAAACATCTGGCAGAATTTCATGTGGTTTGCACTAGCATGAAACCGATTGGGATGACTGATGAACAAATTCAGTTGAGAGCATTTCCTTTTTCTCTCAAAGATGCAGCAAAGGATTGGTTTTACTATCTTCCCCCAGGTAGCATAACAACTTGGGCAGATTTAAAGAAGTGTTTCCTTGAGAAGTACTACCCAGCCACTATTTCTGCAAGCCTTAAGAAAGCTATCAGCAATGTGGATCAGAAGGAAGATGAATCCTTGTATGAGTATTGGGAGAGATTTAAGAGATTGTGTGCTAGTTGTCCTTACCATGGGTATTCCGATCAAGACCTCATCCTATACTTCTATGGAGGTCTAACTGATGATGACTTGAGGATGGTGAATGCAGCAAGTGGTGGAGGGCTAGTGAATAAGACTCCAGGAGATGCAACTAGGTTGATTGCAGAGCTAGCAGAAAATTCTAGGCAATTCAGTCAGAGAACTCCCACGCGCCGGGTGAATTTAGCAAATTCGAATACAACTGAGTTAGAGAGTCAAGTAGCTGATTTGACTTCTATGATGCGTGAGTTCATGGTGAACTCAAGGAATCCACAGCAACTGAATGCTTGTGGTTTATGCACCTCCATGGGACATCCCACTGATGCATGTCCTCAATTACAAGAGGAGCAGAATGAGCAGGCCAACGCCTTAGGTTTTCAAGGGCAAGGTCCGTAGAGAAGATATGATCCCTTTTCAAATACCTACAACCCAGGATGGAGAGATCATCCAAATTTTAGATATGGGAATTCCCAAGGAAACCAACAACATCAGCATGCTCAAGGTCAACAACAGTTTCAGCAATATAGGGCACCGTTCCTAACACCTCAAGGCCAAAGCTCTAATTCAGGTAATATGTCAACTGAAGAAATGATTAGATCACTAACTTCTAATGTTTCTACCATGCAGCAGAATATGATGCAATTTCAACAAGAAACCAGATCAAGTATTCAAAACCTGGAGAATCAAGTCAGTCAAATCTCAAGTGCAGTAAGCCGACTTGAAGCTAAGGACTCTGGAAAGCTTCCATCCCAAACGGAGCTGAACCCTAAGCAACAAGTTAATGCAATAACATTGAGAAGTGGCAAAAAGTTGCAAGAAACTGTAGTTGCACCTAAGAAGGCTAAAGACTTGATTGGAGTTGAGGAGGAGGAAGTAGAACAAGAAACTAAGGCGAATCCGCCAACCTTTACCTCTTATGAGCCTGTGCCACCTTTCCCAGAAGCCTTGCAAGATACTCGAAGGTATGAGAAAGACAAGGATATTTATGAGACTTTCAGCAAATGTGAGGTAAATATGCCCCTCTTGAATGTGATTAAAAGTGTTCCTCGTTTTGCTAAGTTTATGAAGGAACTGTGTACGATCAAGAGAAAGCACAGGTTGGGAGGAAAAGAAAAAGTGAAGGTGAGTGCTCATGTTTCTGCAGTTTTCCAAAAGAAACTCCCAGAAAAATGTGGTGATCCTGGTATGTTTACTATTCCTGTTACAATAGGAGACACCACATTACACCGAGCCATGTTGGACCTAGGTGCATCAATCAATGTCATTCCCTACTCCCTGTTTAAATCTTTAGAACTTGGGCCTTTGCATGAAACTGGGGTAGTAATTCAGTTAGCTGATAGGTCCAATGTATATCCTAAGGGGGTAGTAGAAGATGTACTTGTTAAGGTTGATGGATTGATCTTTCCTGCTGACTTTTACGTCCTTGACATGGAACATGACAAACAAGCAGCCCCCATCCTGTTAGGAAGACCTTTCTTAAAGACTGCTAAGACAAAAATCGATGTGTCTACCGGTTCTTTGACTATGGAGGTTGATGGGAAAGCAATTGTGTATAACATTTATGATACCATAAAGTATCCTGTTGATACTCATTCTTTATATTCTATAAATGTTGTCGATCCAATATTGCATGATGTTTCTAACATTGATCATGGGGATGAGCTCCTCACACCTATTACTAATGTTGTGTCTGGTGATTGCTTGGATTCTTCTATACCTACTAATGTGCAGGTGAAGGTGGCGGAATTGAATGAACAGTCCAAGCTTCCACCTATACCACTAGGGGCAACACCCACCCCGTCATCATTTCCGGGCAAGAAATTATCCCAGGTATACCACAAAGCAAAGAATAAGGTGTGGCATGACAAGATGAGCTCCCGTTGGAAGGGTCCAATTCAAGTTGACAAGGTCTATCCGCATGGAGCGGTAGAAATTCGGAGTTTAGAGACCAACAACATGTTCAAAGTGAATGGATAAAGGCTCAAACCATACTACGAAGGGTTCAAGGTCGAGAATTTGGAGAACATCGATCTCTACGAGCCATCAATTGATTAACGAAGTTTCATGAGTTGTGTCGAGCCAACGACGTAAAACAAAGGCGCTAATCGGGAGGCAACCCGAAAACTCTTCCCCGTTTTCATTTATTTTAGTTTTTATTGTTTTTGTTTTGATGTACCAAGTGCTTTTGGTGGATTTATGTAGGAGGATGCTTTGGGAGTACGTATTGTGAGCAAAAACAGAGCAAAACAGGTAAAAACAGGCTTTGGGAGGCAGCCCCTGCAGGAGCCGCTGGTAGCGGGCTGACAGCTGCTCTGTAGCCGCTACCAGCGGCTCTCCAAGCAGCCAAAAAATCCCAAAGTTCTGCCCCAGCCGCTGGCAGCGGGTGTCCTTCAGAAAAAAAAAAAATATATATATATATATATATTTTGCAGCAGCCGCTACCAGCGGGTCCCAAGCCGCAGCCAGCGGGTCCCAAGCCGCTGCCAGCGGGTCTTCCAGCAACATTCACCCTAAATTCCTTCTTAAGCCGCTGGCAGCGGGCCCCAAGCCGCTACCAGCGGCATTCCCTGCATACCTGAATTTTTGCCCTTTTAAACCCATTTTTCTTCAATCCTACAATCCAATTCATTCTAGTCTTTATCCAAAACCCCAATTAATCACTTCCCTCTATCCCTTAGCAAGTATTCTTTATCCAAAACAACCCATTTGCCCCATTTTCAATCCAAAATTCAGAAATTTAAAAACCCCTCGTCTAACCTCTTTTCCCTCAATTTCAAGTCCAATTAAACCTTAACATTGTTTCAATTTCTAAATTCTAAACTTGAAATTTGAGGAATTGTGTGAACCTTGGTGTTTGGAGGTTTGGTGGGTTGCTCATTGTATTTTGAAAGAGGAGGTGAGATTTGTGCAATTCGTTCTTGTGCAATGGGAAGACATAACAAGTGAAGGCAACCTCTTCACCTACAAGGGTTGCAAGGGGGTAGACAACAAGGGGATACTTCAAGGGAGGGTGTATCACCCTCTTTTCCCCAAGCAAATGACTTCATGGGCATTCGTCTAACTACGAAAGAAAAGACTACATGGGTTCAACTTCAACAGCCCAAAGGAATGGTGCAATGCACAAAAGTCGTCGATTTGGAGGCATTGCAAGTGGTTGGTTTGGAGGAAGTGATGGAGCACGAGCGCACCTACTTATGTGAGGTATAGATGAATTCCTTTCCACTTTGACTAAGGGATGTCAAGAATTTCTTTCAATTTTAACAATAAGAACTATGTCATGCCTTATGCGGTAATTAGAAATGCGTTTGGTTGGAATAATCTTCCCATGGGCAACACTTGGGGTCCCCATAGTTCATTTTTCTTCTCGAGAGTTTTTAAATCCTTGATAATGCCGAATCTTCCAACTTCGGGAATCCTTCCCATTAAGGTGGTACTTATTTCTTCCCTTTCCCTTACTTTTGTTTTTATTGTTGTTGTTCTTGCATTGAGGACAATGTCTCATTCAAGTAGGGGGGGGGGAAGCAATTCTTGCATATTTTTGAAATTTGTATAGTTATCCTAATTTAATGGTTTTGTATAGCTATTTCAATTATGTTTCAATGAAAAAAAAAGAAAAAAAAACAAAGAAGAAAAATTGAAAAAAAAGAGAAAAGAAAAAGAAAAAGAAGCCCTCTAAGTCGAAAACCTGAAAAGGCGGCTTAGGCAAAAATGGGGGCCCGGTTAGGTTGAAAACCCGAAAGGGCGACCTAAGCAAAAAAGTGGCTAATGAGCGGGTGAGGTAGTGAGATTTGGAAAAAGATGAGAGGCTAGGATGAAAACCCGAAAGGGCTCCTAGGCAAAATGAGAGAAAAAAGAGAGAAATGTTCATGAATTTGATTTTTCAAGGAAATTTCGCATCTATTTGCCGGAGTCGGTGTCATAAGGGGAGGAGATATAAGGAGGTGTCGGGGTAGGTTTCATCTTGGTGATTTTGGGAGATAGTTGAGATTTTGGGGGAATTTGTTGATCATCTTAGGAATTTGAGAGCATGAGTTGTTTGTTTTCACTCTTGAATGTGGAAGTGTTTTTATGAGACTTTTGGTTAAGTTGAGTTTTTGTTTGCCCAATTTTATCAAAAATTTCATTTCTTTAGGCGGTTGAGAATATTCATACTCATGGCTATGCGTTTATCGTTCCAAGTTGATTTTGGGGATGAATTGATAAATAAGAAAAAATGGAGATTCAAAGTGTGAAGTATGGGGGAGTGTGATTGTGATTGGTTGATAAGTACTAGGATGTTTTGTTGAGTTTGAGTGCGTAGAGCTAGTTTGATTCCACCATCTTCTGTTTTGAACCTTAGTGAGGAGGATGTGTTTTATTCTCTAAGTTTACTCGAGGGCGAGTAAAGGTTCAAGCATGGGGGAATTTGATAAGCCTTCTTATCATGGGTTGAGAGAAGCATTTTAGGGTGTGTTTTGATGCTTTATATGTACTTTTGTTAGCTTTTGTGAGTTTTGGGCTGTGATCTCACTTATGTGCAAAAGGCGGGATTTATGAGTATAAGTGAGTGAGTGAGCTCGGGAACCAATGAAGAGTTATGTAAGAAGGATGGACCTTGGCTCGTGATTTGAGAGTTGTGATGGAGCATGGAAGAGCAAGGAAGAAAGCTTGAGGAAAAGGTGAAGCAAAGCAAGAAGAAGAAGCAAGGAAAGAAGGCAAAAACAGCAGGAACCGCTGCCAGGGCCGCTGGCAGCTGGCCAGAGCCGCTGGCAGCGGGTATACCAGAGTGAGGGGCTGCCAGAGCAGCTGCCAGCGGGTCCAGAGCAGCTGGCAGCGGCTCTGGCAGAAATTCGGGCTGTTTTGGTTAATTTTCAGCAATTTGGCTTTGTTTTGGCTCGTGTTTTGGATATTATTTTATTATTATTATTGTGTTATGTTATTAAAATATAGAAACATATAAATAGCTTAGTTTTAATTAAGTTTTAAGTTAGAAAAGGAGAATTAAGTTTTGAGAAAAAAAAAAGCTTTCTAGGGTTTTCTTGGAATTTTCAGAATTCTTTGTTTTGGAATTAGAATCCATGGAAGCTTAATCTTCCGGATTCTTGGTTAAAGATTGAAGCTTTTGGCTACGAATTGTGAGATCTTTCTTCTCTTAATATCTATTGAATATATATTGTTCCTTGAATTAATTTCATGATTTGCTTTAATCAATTGCTAGGTTAGAATTATTGGATTCGCTTGCATCTAATTAATCTTTCCAAAGTAGAAACTTTAGGTTATTGATGCATGCTTTTGGTTGATAACTTGAAGAGGGAATAATATTATTGAAGAAATTAGACCGCTTGTGTTAATTTATTCAATCCTTGTTGATTTCTCCGTTTATTTTCTTCTTGTGGATAATTTAGAGCGCTTGTCTTGAATTGTGCATTGGAAAGGGTTAGAAAGGAGCGCTTTGCTATTTCTAACTATTTATGAGAATTTAGAATCTAGGAATTCTACAACAAGGTGTTCAATAGAGCTTGATTGAGGAGACTTCTATGATCAATTTGTATGTTCATTAGTGGATTTCGCATAACCAAGACCGTTCTTCTCATTGATTACCTATTCATTACGTTCGTTGTTCTTACTTAGTTCATTTATTATCATTGCTCGTGAAAACCCCCCTCGTTACTTTGGTTACTACCGTCCTAGAGTATTTCCACTTAGGTTTCCAGTTATTAGTCCCTTTTTCCCTGTGGATTCGAACTCGACTCCCCTAACTACGTTTATTTGCAGTTAGCTTAGTTGTGATATTTTTGGTTGCATACGACTGAGGCACATCACCTCCAGTTCGTTGTTCTTCTTTTTGGCCGCCTCCAACTCAGTACGAATGTTGGCAGTGGCCTGCGCCTGATAATAAAGAATATCAGTTGTCAAAAATTCATTTTGGGCAATTTGAAACATTGCCTTATCAACGTCAGAGGCGGCCATAGCCTTAGCAGCCTTTACCTCTTTGTTTTTGGCGTTGATCGGCCTACGAAGGCCGTGCACTCTCAACATGGTCTGAAAAAAAAGAAAAACAGGCGTCAGATTTAAGAAACGGAGGCGGCATGCAAAGTAATAAAGTTGAAAAATGTTCTAAGTTTACCTCAGATAGGAGACCCATGATGCCGTCTAGGTCAAGGGTGCCGACTCCCTTGACCGCGTCCCTCTCCTCTTGAGGGACGGCCTTAATCATGGACTTGGCCATGTGGACCAAGTCAGGTTCTGAAGGGCCGCCTGCAAAAAAAAAAAAAAAAAAGTAATAAAAAAAAAATCAAAAACATGAAGAGAGTGATAAAGAAAAAAGCAAGTCTAGCAGAGCATGCTATACTTCTCGGCGGCCGTGTAAGAACAGGTGGTGGGTTCCCCACACTTTGTGGGGTGGCCGGCTGCTTGTCAGCCAACTGTTTCCTGGTAGAACCAGGCGTGCTCCCACCAGTCAGCTTCCGAACCTTCGAGTCCGGTTGATGGGAAGATGAGGGTTTGGAAGTGCCCGCCTGCAAAGGAGACGAGTGGTCAATATTTATTAAAGCAGCCTTTCAAAGACAAGTTCTAAAGATTGAAACTCACTGTGGGCGTCTCCTTGGCAGGAGAATTAGAGGCGGTCCGCTGCTGTTGCACTATGGAGGCTCGCAGCATAGCAGCCGCCTTCTTGGAAGCAGAAATTTGGTCCATAGCTTCAGCTACAAAAGAAAACTTCAAAAGTTAGAAAAATTTTCAAACAAGTCAAAGTGAAGGGTACATATTTTCAAGTGGCCGGCTACCTTTGGAGGACCGACTGCTTAGGCCACAAGCGGCCAAAAAAAACTCGTCATAGAGCAATTGAAACTCTGGGACGCAGTTTAGGGGCACCTGCTCTCGTACCCCAGTAGTAAAGTTTGCCCTAATCTCTACTTTAAACAACCCTCGGTCCAGGATATCTTCCCTGGCCTTGAGGGGGACAAGCGGCATGCTTCGACCGCTTGCTAGAAGAGGCG